TGTCAGTTAATTACAGAAATCTGAGAGAATCTTGAGAATATCGTGAATAAGGGGTTCGGGGATTGGATGGGAATTTGGACACATCCCTTGCATTTGAAATTGCCGAATCCCTATCGCAGACAAAACCACACTCTGTCATCTTAATAATGCATTGTGAGGATTAATCGCGGTCTCTCTCTGTGGAAAGCTGCGGCTGCTGTACGAGGGGAACCCCATGGCCTTCATCATGGAGCAGGCGGGCGGCATGGCCAGCACCGGCTTTGAGAACATCCTGGACATTCAGCCCAAGAACATCCACGAGCGCTGCCCTGTGGCTATGGGCTCCACGCAGGACGTCCTGGAGTACATCGGCATCTGCAAGAAACACGCCAATAAAAAGTAGAGGAGGAACGGGACCAAATTCCCAACCCGAGACCAGGGGGAAACGCAGAGATTCGGTCCAAGAGAACGAGGCGAGATTCAGAGTTCTGTGATGTTTATCTTGATGTCTTTCTCATCTTTGTTGCACTGCTTTTAGAGGCAGTTTCTCACAATGTGCAATTCCTATCGGTTTAAAGAAGGCATAACATATATATTCATACCTGGTTCTGATTGTCATTTTAGCAAGGCCAGTTTAATTGTGTAGCACAGTTCATACACAAGGCAAGTGCTGATCAAAACAAGATATAACAAAACAGTCATACAAGGCATTCAAATCATAAATAATCACAGTATATTAAAAAAGAGTGAACATACAGTCCAAAAACGGCTAAATAACTGTTTTCAACCTGTATTTGAAGAAGCCTGTCTCACATTTTCAGGAAGACGGTTTCAGAGTTTAGCTGCATAAATCTGAAAAGCAGCCTCCCCATGTTTAGTCCTGACTCTGGGCACTAACAGGAGTCCAGTCCCTGTGCTCCTCAGAGTCCCAGTTGGTTCATATGGGACTAACATCTCATTACTGGACTTTGGTGTGAGGCCATGGAGAGACTAATATATGTAATATTTTTAATATAAAACATTATATGTATTTAAGATATATTCAAAGCTGTTTTAGAGAGATTTATACATGTTTCAGGAATACATATAATCAATGAATGTCATAGATCGCCCCACTGAAATTAGGGCCGCATTCACATTTGACGGTCTGGTTCACTTTAACTGGACCAAGTCTGGTTCACTTGGGGATAAATGCTTCACAAATCTGCTTCAAAGAGACTAGTGGACACATGTTTGGTACATTTACATAAATAGACATTTTTTTCTCTAAGTGAAGCAACTTTGGTCTAGTTAAAGTGAACACATATACAAAGTAGCATGTTGTGTCTTCTTTAAAGGGGAACTACACAGCTCTTGGGGTCCGCTTTTTCCTTGAGTTGTTGTAAATGTTGATTTGCCTGAATTGTTCCACAGTATGGCATCACATTTTACGCCTACAACGGAGGCAAGCAAGTGACTGTCAATGAGTTAGAATTCATATCTGCGGATAGGAGATCTGAAAATGTAAGAATTCTGTATTTTCAACTGTAAAAACATGGAGGTACTAGTTCTACAGCAGCGCGCTTATAGCAGACCATTATTTTCAAGAGGATGAGTTGCACAATGGACCTTTTAATCATTCCTTTAGTCCAAACTGAATGTAAACACAACACAGAAATCTCTTGCGATCTTTGTCTTCACTTCACCTCTTCATCTTTTGGAGATTTAAAGCTAGGTCACCTAACTTTCTTAAATAGTACATGTCGTTTTTACCATCAGAAATCTTGCAATCTCACAATTACAAGTTGTTGTCTGTTATTGTTAAGTGTTATTTTATGAGCATATCAGACCACAACATATCATATTTGGCATGTCTGTAAGAAAAGTCCTTGTGAGTCACTTTTTGACACTTTGGGCTGAGAACCGACTTGCAGGTGGTTCTCGGGTTTTCACTTTTCTGTCTGAAAAGAAGAGGCCAAAAATACATGCATATGAACCCAAGTGTTTCGAGAGCAAGGAACTATAGATAGATGGATTTTTATGACACACAGTTCTGTTTGTGTGGTTTGAAAGTTAAGTACCCCAGCTTTAATCTTGCGAGCTCTGTTCCTGTCCCGACACCAACAAACTATTGATTCCAGTTTCCCCATGAAGCTAAACTTTAACTTCCTCAGCACAGACGCCTCAGGGACTGGGAAAGACGAACAAATACCGGGATTTTAAACTTGTTTCCGCTTTTTGTTTTGTGCCTCTTTTTAAATGAAATGCAGTCATTATGGATGATGGAACGTGCAACAAACATGTGCTTTACTCATTCAGCGCATGGAACAAATGCAAACTATAAAATAAAAAATTTAAAAATAATAAAACTGGAGACCGAAACGTGCCAATTAAAGCCGCGTGCTTTAACATGAAGTCAGGATACCTCACTAGTGCCTTAAGGAAGACCAGGGAGATGTATTTGTGAAGGACCAAAACTGTAGTAATGTGAACAATGTGCTCTGTTGAAACAATAAAACAATTATATATGTGAACGATGTGTCAATAAATTAAATTGACAAAATGTGCATTGGTGTTGAGTTGTCATTTAATATCACACAGGATTTTGGGCTTTTAAAAATGATAATAAGACTTTGTTTACTTTGTCACTGTATGTTTTAGAACAAGGAATAAAACCTATTGTAGAAAATGTATGCTGAAACGTGTATGAAGAATGACGCTATCAGCCTGCACTGCCCCTATGCAACCACCAGGGGGAGCTGTTGCATTTTTTGGTTTGTCTCAAAAAATCTAATCTACCGGGTTCAAATACAAACTGCAAAAGATGATATTGAAAATATGAAATTTGGCCAAATGTATCTTCATTTTAGCACGTTTTGACTGACTTAAAACCAGATTTGTCAATGGGACAAGGAAAATTGTCTTGAAAAGATACAAGAAAAGTCTCCCTTGGAATGAGAAAATAAAGTTCTTGAAATAAAATTAAATAGTTTTTTCCCATTGGCAAATCTTATTTTCTTACAGTCACAATGTGTTCAAATTAAGATAAAAACGTGACTCAAGCAATTATGACATCACATGTTATCATTTTTTGCAGAGATGTAACTCATAGAGGCTCTTCCATGGTTTTTTTTTCACTTTTCTGTCTGTACCAATCTGATCTAAAACTGAAAATGTGACAGAGGCCAATTATGCATGTAAAAAACTAACGATGGAACCAAACCGTGAAAGGAACAATGAAAGTTAGGTAACCCAGCTTTAATGTCATGGAGTGGATTATTTGTTTGTGTTTTGTTGTTATTTTGACAGTAGTCATCAGTGGACTTTGACTTCCGGTCCTGTTTGATTGTCTGCCCCGCCCTAATGTGTTTCACCTGAGTCCCTGTGTCTGTCTGTACCTGTGCTCTTCTTCATGTGGTGCTGATCCATTTTCTGTTTTCTTAGTTTTGTTTTGATTTTTGGCAACTATTTTCCCGGAAGTTTTAATTCATCGTCTTCATTAAAGTATTATTCTTGCATTCCCACATTTTTGTGTCCGCATTCACTTCACCTCATGACAGCTTTGTAAGTCCCCCTAAAGCTGACGCACTTTAACCTTGTTTGTTTCAAGATTTTTGTGTTAGCCTGTGATTGGAAGACAGCCTTATGAGTCACTATTTGACACTTTGGGCTGAGTGTCTTTTCTGTCTGAACAAATCTGATCTACAGATGTGACAGAGGCCAAACATACATGTGAACAGTGAACTAGTGATAGTTTAAAATGTTTTGAGAATGAGGAACTATTTATAAGAACTGCATCACACCTTTACCTGGTGGTTTGAAAGTTTAGGTACCCCAGCTTTATTGCTTATGCTGTATGTGGCTTTTATGTCTAATCAAGTTGAAAATGCTGTTAGCTGCAGACAGGTTTCTTAAGATAGAAGCAGAGGTCTTGACTCCCAGTTTGATATTTGAGTTAAAGGCCACGGCGCGGTCAAGGAGGTCTGATGACATTTAACTTTATGTGAGAATTCCCCGGGGCAGCTTCTCTGTCACTGCTTCATTGTTTTTATTAACGCTGAGATCATTTTACAAAACCAATTCAATATAGAGTGGAGTAACAACAACACAGGACTTTGTGTCAGCTTTTTCACTTTGAGGACCTTTCTCTTAGAGCTGGGTATTCTATGTGTGAAGCCATTTACAGACTGATGAGGTTTTAATGCTTTGTTGTCTAATCAATATTGCTGTTAGGTTGACTTCTTTAACATTGATTCAGGGAGAGTCTTTTGGTTATTTCTGGTGCATTCACAGTGATGGCTATTCATGAACACACCAAAAAAATTAAAATAATAACTGTTAAAAGGTTTTGGAAGTGATACATGTATAATAATGTATGTTTATAGAGAGAGAGACAGACAGTAGTTTCTGGTCCTCATTATAAACTACCAGAACAGTGCATGATGGGAGCTCTGGACACTGTGCCACTTGATCCGTCTGTGTGCACATGGTTCCACATGGCTGCACTCAAATAGTCCTGGTGTGTGTGTTTGTGTGTGTAGATGTCTGCGTGTGTGCGTGAGAATGTGTGAGTATGTGTGCGTATGTGTCCATGTGTGCATGAGAGTGTGTTTGCATATTTGGTGTGAGTGTGCGTGTAGTACTGTATGTGTGTGTGTATATGCGTGCGCGAGTGCGTGTACGTATATGCGTGCGCGCGTGTTTGTACGTGCGTGTACATATGTTCCCACGTGTTTGTGTGAGTATGTGTGTCTAAAAATGTGTGCAAGTGTGTGTGTGCTTCTTATGCGCGTGTAAGTGTGTCTATGCTTCTTGTGTGTGTGTACGTGCGTGCTTGTTTGTGACTATTTGTGTACGTGTGTATGTGCGTGCGCGTGTGTGTGAATGCTTGCGTATGCGTGTGGGTGTGAGCGTGCATGTGTGCGTGGGAGCGACAGGACCACAGACCGGACCGGACTCCACTGTGACCGTAGCGTTCCTTTCCAGTGCGTCTCTTTCTCCCGGAGCAGCGGCGCAGAGCAGCGGCGCAGAGCAGGGCCAGGATGTCGGACCAGTCTGCGTTTGACACCGACGTGTGGACCCTGACCCGCTTCGTGATCGAGACCGGGCGTCAGGCGAAGGGGGCCACGGGGGAACTCACCCAGCTCATCAACGCCATGCTGACCGCCATCAAGGCCATCTCCTCAGCCGTGCGTAAGGCCGGCCTGGCTCACCTGTGAGTGCACGACCCTGACCCACAGACTGTAAATATCACAGCAACTATAACAATTTACTATAAGACACAATACCACAGACACGTGCTGGAGGGCGTGGACCAGGGACCCGAGGGACCTGAGGGACTAGAGACAGAGGGATCACCAGAGAAGCTTGCTGGAGTATTAGTTTATGATCAGATATCACCATCAATGTCAAAGTTGATCATGGACATGGAACTTTAATCCAAACTTTAATCCAAACTTTAATCCTCACTTTAGCCTAGCTCTAACCAGAGATAGGGTTAGGAGAGAGTTTTCTGAGTTCTTCTTAAAAGTCTGATTGAAATGGCAGATCTCAAAAGCAGAGTTTTCTTGTAAACATGGGCTGGGGGCTAATGCTAATGAGCTAGTTCACCAGTGGGACATGTTTCATTGTTACTTTATGGATATTAATGGGAATAGTTTATTTTAAGCACTACATGTTAAATCCACATCCTGTTAGACTTGTCAATCAATCAATCAATCAACGTTTATTTGTAGAGCGCCTTTCCTACACAAGGCAACGCAAAGCGCCTCACAACCCATATAACATCATGCATAAATCATCAAACATTAGAATTTAAGTAAACATAAAAAGACAGATTAAGAGCACAAGATATATAAAATCACACAAGTAGTTAAAAACCGTAAAACATTAAAATCACACAAGGGATTACAATCATAAATAATCATAGCGCATTAAAAAGATTAAAGATAAAAACAAATATAAAATCATTCACTTGTATGCACAGCTAAAAAGAACTGTTTTCAGTTCAGTTTTAAAAACTGCTAGAGTAGACGCCTGTCTCACACTCTCGGGAAGACGGTTCCAGACTCTAGCTGCATGAATCTGAAACGCAGCCTCCCCATGTCTAGTTCCGACTCTTGGCACTAACAGAAGTCCAGTCCCTGTGCTCCTCAGAGCCCGAGTTGGTTCATATGGCACCAACATGTCGCGGATGTACCCCGGTGCGAGGCCATGGAGAGACTTGTACACAAGTAAAGCTACTTTAAAATCTACTTGTGATGCTAAGATGGGCAGGGTTTGTTAGTACTGTGATGGGAGACCACACCTGGTGCCACAGTGGGGCGACTGCGGCTGTAAAGTGCCAAAACTGTCATTGTGTCCTTAAGCAAGACACTTCACCCACATGTGTCTGGTGTGTGTGTGAAGGGCTGGTGGTGGTCGGTGGGGTCTATGGCACATACTGGTTGCCTTGCTTCTCTCAGTCTGCCCCAGGACAGCTATGGCCGCTGCAATAGTTTGTCATCATATGTACAGTGTGAATGAATAATGCAGTGAAGTAATTTTGCAAAACGTTTTGAACCAATACTTTATTATTTTGGTTGTGCTCGTGGCCAAACATTCATGTATGTGAGGACTCATGATGTGGCACAGACTTTGGGGACAGATTAGAAAAAAGTCATGTGGGTTTTGGATATCTCCCCAGAGAGAGTCACTGTCTGAGGTGTGTGTGTGTGGTGTGTGTGTCTGTGTGTGTGTCTGTGTGTGTGCGCAGACAGGGGCTGGCCGGCTCGGTGAACGTGACCGGAGATGATGTGAAGAAGCTGGACATTCTGTCTAACGACCTGGTGATCAACATGCTGCGTGCCTCCTACAGCACCTGCTGCATGGTGTCGGAGGAGAACAAGGAGCTCATCGTGACGCCCAAAGACAAGAGGGTAAGACTTACGAGTCACATCACTGGAGGAGGACTGTGGCATGAAGTGTGTTTGGCAGGTTCTGAGGATTTTCTCATTTGAATTTACTCTGTGAGATAAGTAAGTAATGTAAGTAATTATTTATATAGCGCAATTTACAGACCAAGGTCACCCAAAGCGCTTTACACTTGTTTAGAGTTCAGTTTCCCATTCTCTCCACACACGGGGATGACGGAAGCGAGTCGCCGAACACACTGGTGCATCAAAGCCTCCAACCAACACCATTCATTATTTCACTCATTTACATTCAGACCTATTGTGCATGTTTTTAGTGGTAAAGGAAACCGGAGCACCCAGAGGAAACCTACGCAGACACGGAGAACATGCAAACTCCAGTCAGAAATGCCCTGCTCCGGATACAGGGAATTTCTGAGTGGAGTTCGTATGTTAGATATAACCTGTTTTATCTATAAAATACTAATATATATATATATATATATATATATATTAGTATTTTATCAATTAGCATTCTGTTATTAAAATATGAAAACGTGTTACAGGCAGCAGCAAAACCAGAACCGTCTGTGTTGACATTAGATTCAGATTCATTTATTATAGTCTGTATCGTTATATTGTCTTGGAGCAGGGGGGGGTCAGTAGCACCCACACATACAGACATAACATAAAACACAGACACACACACATTAACATTGACACAATTACCTGATGTTGTTTAGCAGGACTGTATGGAGTGAGGCACAAAAGAGTTTATTTTGAACCTCACCAAGAGCATATTCAAAAAGAAACAACACAAAAGTTTAATCCAATATTCAGAATGAGAGAAAAGTGCTTTTAATCCAGTGTTGTGAAGCATTGTCCCATGTTTCAAATAAGGAAATATCATAGTTCCACATGTAGAAGTGATAATATTGTGAGAATGTATTGTTTACTTTGTGGTGTGTGTGTGTTTCAGGGGAAGTACGTGGTGTGCTTCGACCCTCTGGACGGCTCCAGTAACATCGACTGCTTGGCTTCAATCGGAACCATCTTTGCCATCTACAAACGGGTCAGTCCCTGCCAAAGACGTATATTAGGAGGCAAACCGAGCGCTCAAAACACCAGACAGTTGGCCTTAATACAGAAGAGGCAGATTTGAACATAAGATGGAGACAATTTTCTTATGTGGGCAGTTTGTCTGTGGCGTTAGCGTCGCAAGTTACACATCTGTTGCCATGACGTTGCATATCTGAAGTTTCTGATTGGTCAATCCTTGTGGCTCCTATGGGGATTAACAAAGACAAGATTAATATGTAAACAACAGGATCATAGAGAGCGCTAAACCACAGATAGTTTGAGCCCAAAATAGGGAATGTGACGCAAACATTTACTGAGCTAGAAGAGTTTACTTTTTAGTTTCAAGTCAATAGAAGAGACCGACAACTGCACCTGAAGAGGCGTATTTTTTTTAATCTTCCAATCACAATGAAACTTTAAATATATATATTGAAAGAAACTTGTAATACTCACACTGCATGTCACAAAGAAAAAGTCTCTGCACCAAAATATATATATTTATTGTTTCGATAAGAACACTCCTTTTTGCTGGTTCCTAAACTTACAAAAGTCAACTTCAGACACATTTATTTGTTCAGGCTTTTGCATAATGTTGTTTTGCTGTTATTTACATGGTTGTCTTGGCCTTTAAAAATGTGTATGTCTATTTTATACTATGTCTGTTTTTATACTATGTGAAGCGCTTTGTGACCCAGGTCTGTGAAGGGCGCTATATAGATAAAGTTTACTTACTTGCATACTTACTCACTAAACGTTGTACAGTATTTTATTATAGGAGTAAGACAGTAATGTATGATCTTTGCTTGGCTCAGGCTGTAGTATTTACTTTCTGCAGTGTGACATTATATTCACCTAATGGAGTCATTTCTGTAGTTACCCTCTGCTTACACTAGAGGGCAGCGGCAGCGCCTGTTAGTGATAGTATATGGTCCTACTCTGTTTCAAAAAGGCATATGATGATTGAATGTAAGGTCTTTATTTTGACATCGGAACAAAAGATAAGATACAATAATATAGTCCTTTATTCATCTTAGTGGAGAAATTTCAGTGTCATCGTTGCACACATTACAGCAGAGAAAGCAGGGAATAAGAGCACTCAGATTAGAAAAAGTATCAAGTGTCAACACAAATAAACATCAGTAATCCCTCTCCTTTCCTTTCTAATCTGTCTGAAAGAGGCTGGAAGCCTGAAACCTGTTTAACGTCTTTGTTTTAAGTTTGTGTAAGCTCTCAGTCGTACGGGGATGATTTCAAAACAAAGGAAGGTTGCTCACCCATCATCTGTGCTTCAGTTCGCAGGTTTTCAATCCAAAGAACTTTCTCAAGGAAATGAGTTGTTATTTAATTTACCAAATGTGTTATAGCTTTTCAATGCTGCATCAAATACACTATTAAAATCTGTGCAAGAGGTTTCTTTATTGGCCCCTATGACCATTAATCCAAATAACATAATACATTCCACAGTAATTGACACGGTAAGAAACAGTATACCTCCAAACCTAGCAGCACCTGTGCCCTCTAATTCTGCCCTTTTTATAGGAGAATGGGCTCAGGTCACATTACGCTCACAGCAGCACCCTGTGGCTAGGGAAAGGTACATTTTGGCTCCTACACACCGGCCCCTTAATTGTGTGTGCAGGAGTACAAACAATTACAAAACAAATAGAAGGAGCCAAAATAGAGTAAGTTATCATGTACACATCTTAAGTAGAAGTTACAATATGGGAGATGTATACATTAACAAAGTTCCGTAATCCTATTCCAATACCAATAGTCCAAATCAATACCGAATACAATTTCCATCTTTTACGTTTGAACATTTTCATGGGTTTCACATGCACAACAAAAATGGCCTTTTCCACATTCCGCACAGAAAACATGTTCATTTTTACCAAATTTTGTTCAAACAAATTAGCGCTCGGCTCACGTAAGATTTTAGTTTGTACACTACATTTTTGAACCTTTACATTGAGTCTTGACCTCTCAATTGCCACAGTCACATACTCTCCAATAGTGACCAGGACGCCAGTAGCCTCTTTTGTGCTAGTGTCTTTTGGTGGACAACTTTGAGGGCCCCCTGGTGGTGCCAGAGCTAGAGGTGTGCAGTCTCTCACCTCATCCACACGCTCATAGTTTTCAGTCTCTTTTGCTTCAGCTGTGACTGTATGAAAATCAGGAACAAGGCAAGGTGGAGACCATATCAAAGATTCAAACAGTTCTTTGATAGGATCTGAATCTGATTTCAGCTCCATCATACGATCAACACATTTCGGAAGTGTCCAATCACGTACCCCGGCCCCTGTTTGGAAGCACGGAGACTCTGGCTTCATCGTTGATTGGCGTGGCGGTGACACAGCTGCGCAAGACGACATCACAGATTTTGATGTAAACTTTTTTGCAGATTTTAGGACGTCCAACTCCGCATTAGCAGCAGCAATTTGAGTTTTAATTTCAAGCTGCTGTTTGACTAGTCTCTGTTGTTCTTCAATCTCATGTTTTTGTTTCATAAAAGACGCTTTGACCAGCAGAGCCGCTCGCTCAGCCTCTGCCTTTATGTAAGCAGAAGATTTTCCGCTGCGTCTTTTGTCAGCGCGTCTCAGTCCACACACATCGTTATTAGGGTTCATATTTGCATGTCCATTCATAGTCAGATCATAGCAAATCTCATTCAGTTCTTGTATACACGCGTGGCTCTACATCCACGAACCTCTTTGATGCGCTCCTCCAATAACGCGCACGGCGGCGCGCGCTCCCGTCTTGAAGCTCTGACTGCCCCCGTTCCAAACACCGCTGTCACTGGCGTCCTTCCATTCCTGATCACGATCCGCTGCGTGTGGTCCAGCCGGGCCCTCCACTGCACGTGCGCGCGTTACTCCAGATCCTTCAGTAACCCCGCACAGTGCTGTCCTAGGCTACAGCAACAGTCGAGGCCCCACTTGTTGGGAACCTGAGGATGTTTCTTACTTAATGTAGAGGCGAAGGTGTTGCCTATAGATCGCCTCTTGGCTGCTAAGATTTTAAGGGTTTCCCAAACGCGTGTCTCCACAAACCATAGTCCAAATAGTGTATTAGAGGTTTCTTTATTGGCCCCTATGACCATTAATCCAAATAACATAATACATTCCACAGTAATTGACACGGTAAGAAACAGTATACCTCCAAACCTAGCAGCACCTGTGCCCTCTAATTCTGCCCTTTTTATAGGAGAATGGGCTCAGGTCACATAACGCTCACAGCAGCACCCTGTGGCTAGGGAAAGGTACATTTTGGCTCCTACAAAGCCTGTTTTGAGATTCAGGGACAAAAATTTATTTTTGTATGTCCCTAAATCATAAGTAAGTAATCTTTATGTATATAGCGCCTTTCTCAGACCAGAGTCACAAAGCGCTTTACCCAGACCTATTGTACATGTTTTTTTTAGTGGTAAGGGACACCGGAGCACCCAGAGGAAACCTACGCAGACACGGGGAGAACATGCAAACTCCACATAGAATCATAACAGCAGTCGTCTTGGAGGTTTTTACAAAGTCGTCGATTAACCAACAAACAGATTAGAACAAAAAACACATAGGAGCCATTGGTCCATAGGGAGCGGGATGACCAATGTCCATAACTATTTACAAATGTCCATAAATGTCCCGGATTTCAACTAGAGACCGTTTTAAATACTTAGTGCCTGTAGTGTTACTATAATGTGATGTGCAGCTCTTAGGGAGCATAGTGCTCGTGAGATGTGCCATATAAATAAAACTTATTTCTGTCGCTGCAGGTGACGGAGGCCGAGCCCACGGAGGAGGACGCGCTGCAGCCGGGGAGGAACATCGTGTGCGCGGGTTACGCTCTGTACGGCAGCGCGACCCTGGTGGCCCTCAGCACCGGAGCCGGACTCAACTTCTTCATGCTGGATCCTGTGAGGCTCCTTTTTCTTTTCACCAACGCTTCTAGAACCGTCTGTCTGCCTCCATTTTTACTGCTTTAGATCTATCATCAACATTTATACAACATTTAATTATAGAGTCATTTGTGTACAGGGCAATTCCAAGTGCTTCACAAGAGCGATTAAAAATACAGATCCAAGTAAATGCATAAAAACAGATAAAGACACAGATACATGAATAAACAACAATTTCATATGAAGAGAGTGCAGCTTTTTCATATATTTAACCAGGAAAATCCCATTTGAGATTAAGAACCTCTTTTTCAAGGGAGGCCTGGCCAAATTTATATACAATTACAGATTATAAAAACAGTCACATTTCAATGAGGATGTCTCGGTCTAAATCTGGATCTAAAAGCATTCAATGAAATAAATTCTGATCATTTCCAGTCTTTTTGCAACACGTTCCATGTAGAAGGAGTAGAATCTTCAAAAGGGGTTTTCCCCAGTTCTGTGCAGGCAAAAGGAGCATACAAGTATTGGGCTTAAAACTTGTATGGGGGTTTAAAAAGAGATAAAAGGTACAAAATAGAATCAGTTTTATGCACAGCTAAACAGATGTGTTTTCAGATTAGTTTTGAACATGGTCTGAGTATCAGCCTGTCCCACGACCTCAGGCAAATGGATTATGAGACAGATGCATACATTGGAGAGGCTGCCTCCCCATGTTTAGTTAGAGACCGGTCCCTGTGCTCCTGAGAGTCCCAGCAGGAGGCCGGTCCCTGTGCTCCTGAGAGTCCCAGCAGGAGGCCGGTCCCTGTGCTCCTGAGAGTCCCAGCAGGAGGCCGGTCCCTGTGCTCCTGAGAGTCCCAGCAGGAGGCCGGTCCCTGTGCTCCTGAGAGTCCCAGCAGGAGGCCGGTCCCTGTGCTCCTGAGAGTCCCAGCAGGAGGCCGGTCCCTGTGCTCCTGAGAGTCCCAGCAGGAGGCCGGTCCCTGTGCTCCTGAGAGTCCCAGCAGGAGGCCGGTCCCTGTGCTCCTCAGAGTCCCATGCATGAGGCCGGTCCCTGTGCTCCTCAGAGTCCCATGCATGAGGCCGGTCCCTGTGCTCCTCAGAGTCCCATGCATGAGGCCGGTCCCTGTGCTCCTCAGAGTCCCATGCATGAGGCCGGTCCCTGTGCTCCTCAGAGTCCCATGCATGAGGCCAGTCCCTGTGCTCCTCAGAGTCCCATGCATGAGGCCAGTCCCTGTGCTCCTCAGAGTCCCATGCATGAGGCCAGTCCCTGTGCTCCTCAGAGTCCCATGCATGAGGCCAGTCCCTGTGCTCCTCAGAGTCCCATGCATGAGGCCAGTCCCTGTGCTCCTCAGAGTCCCATGCATGAGGCCAGTCCCTGTGCTCCTCAGAGTCCCATGCATGAGGCCAGTCCCTGTGCTCCTCAGAGTCCCATGCATGAGGCCAGTCCCTGTGCTCCTCAGAGTCCCATGCATGAGGCCAGTCCCTGTGCTCCTCAGAGTCCCAGTTGGTTCATAAGGCACTAACATGTCACAGATGTAATTTGGTGCGAGACCCTGGAGAGACTTGTTCAAAACCAGAGCTGCTTTAAGGCTTTCGACGTTGGAACAAAAACTCTCACACACCTGGGATTCTGTCCTGAAGAAGTCGGGCAGTAGATGGCGCTGTGGTCCTGCCTCTGGTGGCAGGAAGACAGGCCAAACTCTTAAAAACAACAGACACATCACTCGAACACCACATGACTACTCACAACAAAACATTCAAAAAAACAACTTATAGACTCTTTTGAACTACTAGTTATTATTTATCATGACTTTTCATCACCATTTTAACAGTCTTTCTTTCTGTATAGGAAATAAAACTACAAAATGGAAATGGGTTTATTTTAAAGCTGTCTCCAATTAAATGTGCTCATTAGAATTGAGAGTAATGACACAACATATGGTTAGATATTTCCTCCAAACGACTAAAAGTACAGGTTTTTACATCCCAGTTGCACATTGCATGAGTCAGACTCTGCTTGGGCTCAGGGTAAGTGCAACGGAGACTGCACTTTGGGTTTTCTGAAGTTAAACTATGAAAGTATTGTGTTTTTGATGATTTGTTATGAACGTTTTTTTCTACGGTCTATGGTTTTTCTACTCATTTACTGCCACGTGAGGAGATCTCCACGTTCTCTGTGTCGCTGATGTTGTGATGTTGCGCATGCAGGCCGTCGGTGAATTCATCTTGACCGAGAGGAACGTGAGGATGAAGCCCAAAGGAAAAGTCTACAGCCTGAACGAGGGCTACGCCAAATACTTCCACCCGTCTATCAACGAGTACCTGAAGCACAAGAAATACCCAGAGGTGAGGCATCCATGTGTTCTTCCAGCGGGTGAGCTCGTTGTCATGGAAACACATCACCACATCCTGTATAAGGACGAGTGTGACAAAATAGGGCAAGTTTCTAGTTTAACACAAGAATTCAGATTCAAACACTGTCATAAAAGTGGTCATTTTATGTCCTGAAGATGTTTTAAGATTAGATAAAAGAGCCTTTATCTGTCCCACTGTGGGGAAATGTCAGTGTTGCAGCACAACAGAGAGCACTCAAAATATACAGTAGAGTACAGTGGGGCAAAGAAGTATTTATTCAGCCACCAATTGTGCAAGTTCTCCCTCTAAAAAAGATGAAGGAGGTCTGTAATTTTCATCATAGGTAAACCAACGATGAGTGACAGAATGAGAAAAAAATCCAGAAAATATCCCATTGTCTGTTTTTTAAAGAATGTATTTATTTATTTGCAAATTATGGATAATAAGTATATGGTCAATAGCAAAATTCTATCAAAATACTTTGTTATATACCCTAATACTTATTTTTCACCATCATTTTCAAATACATTCTTTAAAAATCAGACAAAGTACTCAATACTTTGTCCGATAGACTTTTGCTATTGACCAAATACTTATTTTCCACCATAATTTGCAAATAAATTCTAGATTTTTTTTCGCCCTCGTTCTGTCTCTCATCGTTGAGGTTTACCTATGATGAAGATTACAGACCTCCCTCATCTTTTTAAGTGGGAGAACTTTCACAATTGGTGACTGACTAAATACTTTTTAGTAGCATTATCTGCTGTCTTAGCTATAGATGTAGATTCTTAAATATCTATCTATTCATTTGCAAGAGTTTTTAACCTGTTGTTCCATAGAACATAGTGTTTGTAGCAGCAGAAAAAAGTGTATGTGAGTGACATTGTGACCTCACCTGTATGTGAAAGCCAGATCCTGTCAGATTTCTGAAGTTAAGCAGGACAGTAGCTGGTTAGAACTGTGATGGGAGACATCTGGGAAGAGCAGGTGCCAGAGTGGGATGCGTTTTTGAGAGTTAAAAAAGCGCATTATAAAACCAATATTATTTATTATTATTATTATTCTCATTATTACAAACTCTGAGCCAAACATCTGTGTGTTTTCCCTGGACACAAAGTAAACGCTGACTCAGTTACAGATGATTGGCGAGAGCTGGAGTCAGGGTCATTCAGGCAGGACGCTGACACACTTCCCTGCTTCATATTTGCTTACTTTAGGAAACGTACAGATGAAGGGGTCTTTTTACAGAAGCAGCTTTGGTCTCATTTCAAGCACTGGAGGCAAAGACAGGCCAACGTCACACTCAGAACAACACAAGAGAGGACGCATTCACAATATACAATCAAGTCAAATCACAAATCATCACAGAACATGCATTTAAAAGATTATATTCTGAAATAACAGCATTAAGTGATTGCTCCTCACTCTCAGAACATTTAGCTTCTGTCAGAATACGTCTTGTACTTTAACTGTACTATACTGTATTGAGTCAGAATCTATCCATTAAGTGACTGATAAACTCTTCTATCTGCTTTTACAAAACCTCAGTCAGAATAACTTTGTGGGAAAAGAGGAGGACAGAGTGGGATGAGTTTCTCCTAAAGTGAAATATAGACACAGGTCCGTAAGTCTTGGGACACTGGGACAGAATTCTCTTTGTGGCTTTGTACACAACAACAATAGATTTGAATAAAAGTAATACATACAAATCTCTCTCCCAGGCCTCTACTATAATAGTGGTCAGTTATTTTTTGCTCATGAGGCATTAATTTAGCATTTTACTTTGGACTAGAGCAGAGTAATGGTCTGAACCAAGCGGATACTCCACCTCTGCTGCTGTGACCTGAAGGGCTGTTTCTGATTATTACTATTGTTAGTTTTTTAGAATTCTATTTCTATTAATCTGTTTTATTTTTTATTTTTGCTGCCACTGGACACCAGAATTTCTCCTACTGGGGATCAATAAAGATCAATATCTATCTATTTATTATGCCTTTAAATTGCCATGACATTCTACTGCTTTACCCTTAAAGAGACATAGGAAACTTTTTGAGCTTTTAAACATGCAGTAATCCATCATTGTTGGAAAATGTGTGAATCGCATACTGTGTTTGCAGCCGGTAATTTTCAAATTTGGAGAAAAAATAAATAAAGATAAAACTCCCTCTGGTGGTAGCACAGGGATAAAGCAGGTGTATAGCATTTTTTCCCCTGATACTTGTTATACATACAGAATATATTTTCTCACGGAAGATATTATTTCACATTCTAAATCATGAAATTTAGAATACCACATTTAATACTGAAATGTCCCCACTGTGGGATGAATAAGGGATCTCATCTTAATCTTAATCTTAAATTAAAAAGCAAATAGTCTAATCATTGTTTTGTAATGGCCAAATATAATGCTGAACGCAGAAAACAACCTCTTTGCGAACTTTTGCCGTGTGCTTTTGGTCATTGTCCGTCACATTTTGCTTTATTATTTTCACTATCATTTCACCTGAAATAATAAAGAATTGTTGCCTGGACCTGACTGTAAATGTCACTGTTCAGAGCTTTCAAGTTCTCATCTTTGGGTTTGGTTTGTACTTTTTATAACCTTTTTTTTTCAGTTTGTTTAAAAAGAGGAAGTGTGAATCCCTCCTCCTCCTCCTCCTCCTCCTCCTCCCCCTCCTCCCCCCCTCTCCTCCCCCCTCTCCTCCCCCTCCTCCCCCCTCTCCTCCCCCTCCTCCTCCCCCTCCTCCTCCCCCTCCTCCTCCCCCTCCTCCCCCCCCTCCTCCCCCCTCTCCTCCCCCTCCTCCTCCCTCTTCCCTGTTGGATGTGACTCAGCAGCACATGACTGACTTGAACCACATGTGCAGAGATCCAGAGGGTTCAGTTTGACTTGTAGTTAGAGTTACACACGTTTAACCTGTTGTTTGTGATCCAGGGACAGTGTAACCCACTTTTGTCGTGGCGTTGCATTCTGGGTCAGCTGCAGAGAGGACTTTGATCAGTGTTGGTTCAAGTAGTGAGCAGAGATTATCCACTGTAGCCCTGTTTAACCAGTCCCAGGTCCCAAAATATTGTAACTGACAGTGATTGCCCAGCCCTAGTTGGAATTTTCCCGGATACTTGGTTGTTGTGGGTTGCAAGGAGACAGTACCGGTTAGTGTAATGAAAACACAACCAGGTAATAATAATAATAGTACACTGGTTTTAAACAGTGCATTTTTCACATGGCATTATTCATTCATTTCATACACGGTGGGGATAAACTACTACTATAGCCACAGATGCCCTGGGGCACACTGCAGAAGAGAGGCAACCAGTATGTGCCATTGACCCCTCTGACCACCACCAGCCACTCACACACACCAGACTCATTTTAGGCAATGGGGGTGAAGTGTCTTGCCTAAAGACACAGTGACAGCTTAGCACTTTTACAGCCGCATCAGCCCCACTGTGGCCCCTGGTGTTCCCAGAGGTCTCCCATCACGGTACTAAACAGGTCCTGCCCTGCTTAACTTCTAAGGTTCATCAGGATCTGGCTTTCACACACAGGTCTGGCCAAGTAAAGCTGGTGGAAACTAGGATCATGCCCAAAAAACACCATAAATAAAAACACCAAAATACCATAAATATGTTCAAATACTACTTTTTTCTTCATGTGGATTTATTTGCTTAAAGTAAACGTACTGTTAAAGTCTTCTGTTCTAATAGACGGACTGGTTCAGAACTTGGTCTTGGTCCAGTTAAGTCACTTCACTAATGCCGAGAGCAGAAAAGCCATTCTATCACATTTTCCAAGTGTATTATTAACACATTGTCAGATATTAAATCACTGATGGTCCTCTGACTCCGCCTCCAGGACGGCAGCTCTCCGTACGGGGCGCGGTACGTGGGCTCCATGGTCTCGGACGTCCACCGCACCATCGCCTACGGGGGAATCTTCATGTATCCTGCCAACGAGAAGAGTCCGAAGGGAAAGGTACCAGAAATGTAGCTTGTGCACTGCAGAAAGTGATCAAATATGAGGTTATCAATGCTCAAATTAGGTGTGTTTTAATCTTAACTTGAACATTCAGACTCTTAAAACAAGATTTGCAAATGGGTCCAAGCCATTTAGTCTTTCAAGAACTGTTGCCTTATTTTCTCATTCCAATGGAGACATTTCTTGTATCTTTTTAAAACAAGATAATTTTGCTTTGTCCCATTGGCAAGTGTTGTGTTAACGCAGTCAAAATGTGCCTAAATTAAGATACATTTACAGTAGCCAAATTTGAGCAATTTTTCACTTATTTTTCATCACTTTCCCTCCCACATGTTTAACAAGAGGAATGAGTTTTCTTGTTGCTTCTTAACGACTGTCTTTCCTCCAGCTCCGGCTTCTGTACGAGTGCAACCCCATCGCCTTCCTGATCGAGCAGGCGGGCGGCCTGGCCACCACCGGCTCCCAGCGGGTCCTGGACGTCCAGCCCGAGACCCTGCACCAGAGAGTGCCCTTTGTGGTGGGCTCAACAGACGACGTCAACGAGTACCTGTCGTTTGTCCAAAAGTACCCGTAGATATCAGACATGTTTAATTCAGATTTTTGTCCCCTTTTTGCCTCAAGATGTCTTTGTGTGTAACACGATATGTGAACTTTAGAAAGTCTTATTTATTTCTGGGTCAACTCTGTTAAATATGATAAATATGAGACCAGTGTAGGGCAGAAAGTCTATTCTGTAAATAAAGCCGTTTTTCAATGGAACATGCATTAACTGATTATTTTATTGTAAGACTGGCACAGCTTTAGTTTAAGGCTGTAATTAATTATTCTGGTCCATTAGTCATTTGGATCCTGAAAGCTCAGTGAATATGGGATTTTTGTTTTAATACAATTGACCAAAACAAAGTTCAAGTGCTGAGAACGTCTCCATAGAGATGTTTGATTAAAAACTGTAAACATTTTGTTCAATTTTGCAGTTAATGCTGTGTCCCACATCTGTTGTCAATGCACCAGACTCAACTGTCCATTTTAAATAGTGCTTCATTTTGTCAAACATCCACAGGTTGCAGGAGGAAGAGTCTACACTGCCAGTTTGACTTTGTAAATGTAGTCTTTGCGTTTGTGTTCCCGTTCCATGGACTCACGACTTAACCCTGACCTGAGACTAGACCCCAGTCTGCTGTTGGTTTGGCATTCTGTGACTGCCATTATTTCTATAAGGCATACACTTGATAGTGTTTAATCACGCTGTTTTTTGGACTTTAGTCAATGTGCACTGCAGAAAGATATTTTAAGAATCTTTGAAAAATAAAAAACCCACTGGCAGATTTGCTTGAAACTACATTTCCTCTAATAGCTATTGAGCCACTTTTCAGTATAAAACCTTCAAAAAAAGCCATTTTAATAAACTATTTAACTTGTCTCAGCTCTACTTCACTGGTTCGTGGAAATTGGAAACTTTAAAATGCCAAACCCTTGCAAGTCATATGTGAAGGACAGATTAGCTTATAGGTCACAAGACTCATGTATCAGCAGCTTTAACAAAACCAACAAACTCAGATTTAAACAAAGGCTAGTGTTTAAATGTCTTTTAATTGATCACAGTAAAGTACGAAATCATTTACAATGATCAAAGCAAGTGTTAAACATCACTCACTGAGAATATTTACATAAAAATAACACAATTACAAAAAGACATGAAACAAGCCAAAACAAAACCAATGGCACAACTTCCCTAAAAACAGTGTTCTTTTTTTTTTTTCATAAAACTCAGCAGAATCTCCTGCTCAAAACGTGTGTGACCAGAGTAGGGCCTCAGGGACACACCACGGCAATAAAAAAAGTCTAGCCATGGATGGAGCAGTTAGACGAGCGGGTAACTGGCGGCGGTGGCGATCCCGCAGTGGTTGTGTTTGTCTTTAGCCATGAAAATGTAACCTTTGTCTCCCCACTTCTCGCTCCAGCTGCAGAGAGAAGGGGAACGTTTAAGTTAGTGAGACTTTAGAACAACATTTATACGAGATCCTATTTTTCGTCCACAGTGAGGAACTACAAAATAAGGGAACAATAACTTTATACTGAAATACAATCTAGCTTCAGAATGAGGAAGCAAATCTAAAATATCCATCTTTAACATAATGAAGAAGCAAGAATCAAGTATAACCTCTTGACTTTAGCACAAATATGAAGTCTCTGTCTTTAGCCTGATAACTGCATACACTATTTTTGCCGCTTTATCACTATTATTCAATGCTAATAAAAACGTTTATGGACTTATTCAATTATGTTCATGGGATGAGAGGCTACAAGTTTAATAATTATTTCCCATCCCGTTGAGCTGTCAAATTGAAACTAGGAATAAGTTTGTACAGACACATGGTGTAACTATGGCAAATACTGTTGTTTGACAGTCTACATCTGCACGTGTAATTAGATCATTCAAGCGCAGTAAGCAACATAATATATAAAAGAACTGACCTGTTTTTCACAATCCAGTATTTCTTGCCATCGACGTCCTCTCCCTGGAAGCCATACCCAACCACGAGCACGCCATGGTCCAGCTCGTCACTGCTGCAGTCCTTCTCAAAGTAAATTCCTGGGGGGGGGGGGGGGGGGGGGGGGGGGAGATAGTCAGACTGAGATCACAGAAGCCACAGCATAAAATGTACTTCCTCTTACTCCTCCTAAAGTAATTATAAACAAGATGTTATGAATCCTATGTACTGATATCCGATAATGGTTGATGCACATTAAACCTCAAAATAATAAAAACTTTTTAAAACAGTTTGTATCGTACCTGACTGGTAGAACTGGAAAGACTCGTGTCCAGCATCAATAGCGACAGAGACTGGTCCCACGGCGGCCACGGCCTTCATGAGAGCGCGTTCGTTGCCGCTGGGAACGTCCACGAAGCCGGTGTCGTTGGCAGAGTTGAACTTGGGGTCGTAGTGGCAGGGCTGGTCATCCTGGGATAAAAGACATTAGTTTAAAAGCAGTTTCTAAACATAAAAAATAAACTGGAGCTGCATTTTTTTAAGCAGTTTTCTAGTAACCAAACTGCTTCTTCCAGCCAAGATTGTTGCAATTGCGCCTCTAAACTAGTGTCTGACGATTTATTCACTGCCGAACTCTGATTTTAATGACATTTATTCTGGGGTGTTGCTAACTAACTGCAGGTCACGTATACACACAGACAGCAAAAGTTTATGGACAGATAGTTAGTGCATTTTAGGAGAAAAGAAATTCAGAATCCATAAGACCGGTCTCTCTTTGATAAGTAGACTGGTGTTCTGTCCAGTATGATTCATGTCTGTCCCACATTGTTTTAACACTTTTGAGTCATTCCTTGACAGTGAAGGAGGGTCTAAGGAAGGTGCTCTATCATGATTCAATAACATTTACAGAAATTGTCCATCCAACTCCCTATGGACCATTGGCTCCTATGAGTTTATTACGATTACATTATTTGATTTGTTGACAGCTTTGTACACAACTTTTATAGGGATATACTAAAGAAACTGAATAGTAGTGAGGCAAACGAGATTTTTAAAAAGTCACTCCACACTGGAATATCTACATAGAGGCTCCCCTTCAGTTTTGACAATAATGAACCAAATGTTTGTTAGGCTGAGTCATAGGAGATTTATGTTGGAAAGAGTAATTGTGCTCCACCGCAGATCCAGCTAATTAAAATATTTACTTGAATCAAAGTTTGGCAGAGATCATTGTGAATGATTGTTCCTCAGCCTTGAAGAGGTTTGGTAAACAGCAGGGCAGATCACTAGTTGTACAATTCATGAATGAAAAAAAAAAAACAAAAAAAAAAAAAAAAACACTTCTAGTTTAGACCAAAAACAAAAACTTACGGTTCCCAAATAGGGGTAGGAGTCCTCGGAGTCCAGGCCCTGGTTGTCTTTGACGTACTGGAAGGCCTGATCCATGAGGCCTCCGTTGCAGCCCTCGTTGCCCTCGGGTCTGGAGCAGTCGACCAGGTTCTGTTCGCTCAGAGACACCAGAGTCCCAGTCTTCCTGAAGTGCTGTCCCTCCAGAGCGCCGGTCGTACTGAAGGCCCAGCAGGAGCCGCACTGGCCCTAAACACAACAGCACATGCATTTAGTGTCCATTCTTCATTTTGTCCATTAAAAACGGCATCTTGTGAATATTCACTGAGCATTTCAGGTGTTAGAGAGGAAAATATATGTGGATGAACATTTTTACAAGAGGAGATGGTGAAGAATGATCAACACTCTCATCTAGTGGTAAAAGTTTGAAATTGGATGGAGCAAGAGAATGTAATTTGACCAGAGAAGTCTTTAAAAACTTGTGTAAATGATATATTTTTGTCTAGAAAAGAGGAAATACAGAAAACAGCGACATATAGCACTTCCTAATATAAACATGATCCTTTTGTAAACATATCTATGTTCAAAGAAAAAGTACAAATACTAAAAAAATAAATAATATGATATAGTCTACCAGAAGACAAAGGTTACCCAGAATTATTAGCATGGAGGGAGCTAAAATAAGAAGTCTAGGATTTTTTGCCTTAGGGATGGTTAAAGGCCCAATGGTCAAAATGCATTATGTCTTCTTAAAAAAACAAAAAAAAAAAGACTTATAAATATAGGTTCATTATTGATTTGAAAGTATTTTTTTAAAGAAAACGTGTCAGGTCCATACTGAAAGTCAAGCTGCTGTTCTGGCCCTGACCTCGTTCAACAGGTTTCAGCTTACAGTGCACTTGAGGGAGGGACAGGGGAGAGGGGGAGGGGGGGGCATGAGGCTCCCAGATAAACAACACTTATCTCAAACAACATGTGTGACCACGGCTTATGGTCAAACACAAACTTGACATTTTACAGTATTATAGGTCACTACAACATACAGGTGGAAATGTGTCTAAAAACCATATACTGGTAGATAACTGTTGTATTTTGAAGTTTTGTGGAGATGAAAGGTGCAGTATAACTCAAAATGTATTACTATTATTACCCCTACATGTAAAAAGAGCAGTTTTACCTGGTCTTTCACTGGTGTGACGTAGCCCTTCTCCCTCCAGTCAACAGATCGTGGGGCCTGGAAGAAGTTTGGCTCCAAGTAAAAAGAGCCGGTGAATTTCCTTTGTGCCTTCTGCTTGTAGCCATTCACGACCTGCCTGAACTCCTCGTGAGTCTGGAGGAGAACAAAAAGCAGCGAGCGTGACGCAACACAGCCGTGCCTATAGCGCTGATACAGAGGAGGTAAAAAAGTATTGAACTTACCATGTCGCCAAAGTGGTTCATGCCCAGACGGTAAGTGTGTTTGCCCATCGAATGCTCCAGGTTGTGCATTTCAATCTTCTTCAAGTTTTTCTCCCAAATCATCCTCCTCCAGCCCTCCTCTTTCTGTAAAATAAACATGCCCATTAAAGAAAAAAGTCTAGTTGTATATCACTATTAATATGAAGGCAAAAAATATGCATTACCACACAACTTCCTGTTACAATGGCAATAATAAATTTATCCGATTCTAATATTCCTAATTTATAGTGCTTTATACAACAAATTGTCTAATTGCTTACTGCTTGCTAATTTTGTATTAACTAGATCAGTATTGAATTTGATATGAGCCCTTTTGTAATCAGGGATACTTTGGCTTGAAACATGGGCCCCATTTGGAGTTGTACATTGTGTGTCTATGTTCTTAAAAACAAAAAAAGTCTACTTGCGTATAAGTATCATCATGAAGGCAAAAATAAATGTCCATTACCGTGTGGTAGGTCCTAGTGTGCCAGCTTTTCCACAGGTCCCAGTGCTCGTCCAACTGTGGGTCCATACTGGGGGCAGACAGGCCAGCTGCCAGGCACAGGGCAAACACCGCTAGAGGCAGCATTATGGCTTTTGCTGAAAAACAAGGCAAGAGAAAAGACATTAGTGCTATGGATGAGACATGTTTGGGGTTGCGAGGAGACAACAGTACAGTATTGCAGTTCCTTCTCGGTTCCTACCAATTATCTCTTATGAATCAACCCAACAAAGGAAGTTACAAATAATTACATAGAGCCAGAATCATTACTCATAGGCTGTTGGGCTATTGGGTTCCTTATGTATGCCTATGCTTTGTACATTAGATAAGCAAGTCTCATGTTGCAATATGTTTAGTTGACTGCTAAACGATTAGAGCTTTAATCTGCCCCAAGACAACCTATGGACTGCTATCGGAGGCAACGCCAGCCTGCAAAGTACAATTATATAAATGTATTTAATAAATATTAGAATAAAACTACATGGAAATATATAATAAAGGCCATTACTTTGAGTGTGTCTACTCTCCAGTGTTGTCTGAACTGAAAAAGTAATGGTTGTTTTTTGCAGTACTACAAGAAAAATAGAAATAAAGCAAATATATGTGTGTTATAGTTGCATGTTGCAGCTCGAGCCATGTTTACATTATTGCCCTGGGTTAGTGTGTGCAGACCCTAGCTCCTTGGACACACTGTACACTTGGGATGACTCAACTTCTGCACATTCCTGTTGCCTTCCCGTAACTAAAACACGAGATTAAGGCCAAATAACCATCAATAATTAACAATATACGTGTCTACTGATCGCATTAACAAAACAACGCGACCTTGGATAGCTTTGGGTGGCTTTCCCAGCTGCAGGAGATGAGAAAAAGCGTTTATATTCCCAACAAAAACAACATTAGCCTCTAGCCTGGTTTTGTTTTGCGCAGTCACGGGATCTGCGGTCACACAACAAAAGGAGGAACAAGAAATCCCAGAAAACCAAACTGGAAAACTGGATACTTACTTAAGTTTACCAGACAACAGAAGAAAAAAAAATTAAGTCAAGTTTATGGGAAAAAAAACAACTACAATTAGCGTGACGAGAATGGATTGGAAGCAAGAATTGATGTTGGGAAAAATACACAGCCCTATGTAGTTTTGCCTTTTGCGAGTAAAATTCAACCACAATCACACACATGAAAACAAAATCGCACAATTTAACCGTTTGAAGTTAAGCCTTAAAAAAAAAAAAAATAAAATAACAACAATCTAAAAATATTAGTTTACATTCACAGCGAACGCCTTGTCCTGCTTTGCTTTATGATGGGTGCACCGCGCTAGCATAGCATCAGCCAGAGAGCGTGCAAAAGCTGAGCACAAACAGAAATAAAAGCTACAATGATACTTACTGCAAAGAGTGCGTTGTATCTCGGGGGGAAAGTGGTGGAAAGATGCGTTTTGACGGCAGATGGACAAAGTTTATAACGGAGTGGCTTTGGCCCTCCCTGCGCGCTGATTGGCTGGATCCTTGTTTTTTCCCTGCGATTGTTCTGCCCACAATGATGACGTCACGGCTGCTGCACGTGATCCGGCTTTGAGTGAAACTGCATGGATTAGCTGCAAATGTTAATATACATGAATGGATAAAGTAAATTGTAAGCATTGTTTGGAGTCTAACTGGTGGTGCTCAGATTGAGAAAGTCAGTCACACATGTAACAGGATTAATCTTGTTTCACCCGAGTCGATTAGCATTGTTTACAGTGAGGAAATGATCAAAACAACCATTGTGTTTCTATTGGATCTATTATATACTTCTCACCGTTATGTTAAATGTTTTTGATAACAAACTTGGCAAAAAAATAAAAATAGTACATTTTAAATATCATAAAAACCGATGACACAGTTTATATGTACAGAAAGATATATAACATATAATGTATATGCCTAATGCAATAAAACCAATGTCCTTAAATGTCCTGGATAATTTTAAAATCTAATCCATCTATTTCTATGACACTGTGATATAATCTTCTTACTCTATCTATTGAGTTACTGGAATATGACAAATCTAGAATGCTGCCATATAAAATGAATAATAGGTGATGTTATGTTGTAAGGCTTTGATTAAATTACAAGAAAAAACTAGCAGTGGATTATTGTCCTTCTTTGAGCTTCCCTCAGTCAATGTACAGTGTATGTCTTTACTCAGAAATAAAAAAAATGTTTTGTTAATGTTGCTTTAACATAATTCTGAGTGTGTGTTTTGAATGGTGAAAAGGCCTTGTATTGTTGCCTACTAACAGGACACTGAAATCTGCAGAAATCCAAGACTTAATCAATTGTTAAATGCCTATTGTGTGTATTTACAGTGCCTTGCGAATGTATTCGGCCCCCTCGAACCTCTCAACATTTCGCCACATTTCAGGCTTCAAACATAAAGATATAAAATATTAATTTTTTGTCATGAATCAACAACAAGTGGGACACAATCGTGAAGTGGAACGAAATTGTCACCTTACATTGTGTGCACCATGTGCACTTGTATATTGTAAATAGTAACTGTAACTCTATTTTAAATTTAAATTTATTCTTTAGAAGTGTTTTTTATTCTTATTTTTATTATCTCTTTCTGAGTGTTGCACTGAGCCAAAGCAATTTCCAAGTCTGTGACCTCCTGTTACTTACGTGGCAATAAAAATGATTCTGATTCTGATTCTGATTTATTGGATAATTTAAACTTTTTTAACAAATAAAAAACTAAAAAGTGGGGCGTGCAATATTATTCGGCCCCTTTACTTTCAGTGCAGCAAACTCAGTCCAGAAGTTCAGTGAGGATCTTTGAATGATCCAATGTTGTCCTAAATGACTGATGATGATAAATAGAATGCACCTGTGTGTAATCAAGTCTCTGTATAAATGCACCTGCTCTTTGATAGTCTCAGGGTTCTGTTTAAAGCGCAGAGAGAACCATGAAGATAAAGGAACACACCAGGCAGGTCCGAGATACTGTTGTGGAGAAGTTTAAAGCCGGATTTGGATACAAAATGATTTCCCAAGCTTTAAACATCTCAAGGAGCATTATATTATATTGAAATGGAAGGAATATCAGACCACCGCAAATCTACCAAGACCCGGCCGTCCCTCCAAACTTTCATCTCAAACAAGGAGAAGACTGATCAGAGATGCAGCCAAGAGGCCCATGATCACTCTGGATGAACTACAGATAACTACAGCTGAGGTGGGAGAGTCTGTCCATAGGACAACAATCAGTCGTGCACTGTACAAATCTGGCCTTTATGGAAGAGTGGCAAGAAGAAAGCCATTTCTCAAAGATATCCATAAAAAGTCTCGTTTAAAGTTTGCCACAAGCCACCTGGGAGACACACCAAACATGTGGAAGAAGGTGCTCTGGTCAGATGAAACCAAAATCAAACTTTTTGGCCACAATGCAAAACGATATGTTTGGCGTAAAAGCAACACAGCTCATCACCCTGAACACACCATCCCCACTGTCAAACATGGTGGTGGCAGCATCATGCTTTGGGCCTGCTTTTCTTCAGCAGGGACAGGGAAGAGGCTAAAATTGATGGGAAGATGGATGGAGCCAAATACAGGACCATTCTGGAAGAAAACCTCTTGGAGTCTGCAAAAGACCTGAGACTGGGACGGAGATTTATCTTCCAACAGGACAATGATCCAAAATATAAAGCCAAATCTACAATGGAATGGTTCACAAATAGACGTATCCAGGGGTTAGAATGGCCAAGTCAAAGTCCAGACCTGAATCCAATCGAGAATCTGTGGAAAGAGCTGAAGACTGCTGTTCACAAACGCTCTCCATCCAACCTCACTGAGCTCCAGCTGTTTTGCAAGGAAGAATGGGCAAGAATTCCAGTCTCTCAATGTGCAAAACTGATAGAGACATACCCCAAGCGACTTGCAGCTGTAATTGCAGCAAAAGGTGCAAAAGATTTTAATATGACTCAGTCCTGGTGTTTTATACAACAACTTCTATCCAATTCTTCTTCTAATTGCTACAATACAATAACTACAATTCTCATACAATAACATCCTCTAACTGCTAAAGATCTGTATTTTATTACTACGTGAAAGGGAGTCACATTTGAAGTTGTGCAGTGTGTGTGTATGTTCTTAACTATAAAATCATTGAATAGATATTAGTTGACAGATATGTTTGAATACATAATGTTCTGACGTCCTGACAAGTCCAACATGTGTTTGTTTACTTCAGGTCTTTACGTAGTTTTCTATAATAATCTTTGCAGATAAGACGCTAAAGTGTTTGATGTTGTCAAATAAAGAGGCTGCAATCTTCGGAGGAATTTGAAGAAGTCGTTTCTCCGAGAGTTAATCAGCTCTGCTCATGTGACTGATAAGAGTGTGAAGTGGTCTGTGTGGAAAAAACAACAGTGCAACGTCCCACTTTCTTGTTATAATTGCATCCAACCTGAACAGACCCAGTGCAGGGATTAATAAACATGTTAGATCTCATCATAAATGGTAAAAGTGTGTCTGCAGATAGTCTATCCTTGTTTTGAAGGATAAAAGCCATAGTTAGTTCAAGATGTTGTGAAAAAAATGACTAACATAACTTGAACTTTTGCACATTTTGTCTTGTTTACGGCCACACACAGATATCATTTTCAATTCAATTCAATGTATTCTTGTATAGCCCTAAATCACAACAGGAGTTATCTCAGAGGACTTTGCAAAACTGTGGAATTCGCCAAAACAGATCAAAAAATCAAACAGTTTGAACTCAAGAAAAACAATGATAAAAATAAAATTTAGAGCTATTGGTTCATATGGGGCAGATAAAAAAAAGGCCATAAAAGTTGATAAATGTCCATAATTTAGATGTTTTCTTTTTTGAAAGACTGCGACAAAGTAACAGACAAATTGTGAATTCAACATTTGTGGGAAAAGACTTGAAAACTGCAGTTCAAAAACACTCACTCAAATCTGATCTGACAGAGCTGCTGTTTTGTAAAGACAATACGCAAAACTTTCAGTCTCCAGATGTGCTATTTTTTTCAAGTAAAAAAAAAACTGCTGCTGTAATTTTTGCAAAAGGGGGTTTCACAAAGTATCATCTCATGTTATATGAATACATGACTTCAGTTTTTTAAATTGAAACTAAAACATTCATACTTATGGACGCTTTACTTTAAAATAATTCAATTCAAAAGAATCCGATTCAGTTTTATTGGCATTGAAAGAAACAGGAAGTCACAAATGATGAAGTTGCTTTGGCGTATGGCGCAAACAAGTTATGAAAAAGTAAATAAATCAGTCATAAAGGCAGGCAATTAAACCATAAAATATAGATACACACAATAGTAATGGGCCGGGATCTTTATGTATTTGATCATAAACATTATAGATTTAGTGCAAAAGTTTGAAGTCGCTGCAGACGGTGGTTTTACACCAAGTGTGAAGAAAATATCCAATCCACTTTTTTTATTAGCACATTTTATAAAACATGTTTCCAAAGTGCTGCACAGATAAAAGTAACAGATTAAAAATATACATTCTGCCAGCTTTAAATATAAAAACAGTTAAAATTAAGGAATTAACTATATACATAAATAAACATAAAATAAAAGGAATAAAAACAATATAGAACAAAATAATAATAATAAAAATAAATAAATAAAAGAAAAGATCAAATAAAATAGAATAAAATAAAACAACAACATAATAATAATGAAAACAAAACAAATAAACTTTAAAAATTAATAAATAAATAAAATAGAGAAATAAAAATGAAAATATGTTTAAAAATACACGCAGAAACTAATGCTGGACGAATGTAAAACTATTGTATAGATGGAAGCTTTTTTTCTTTTTAATATATGTTTGATTGTATCCCGTAGCAACGTAGCACTTAAACTGATTTACCAAAGGTTAAAAATCCGGTAAGATCTGGATTCAAATCAGTCAAACACTAACTACACAGGTCATGTCTCAGCAGAAAACTTTGTGATGCAGCAGAAGTGACACGTCCGGAGCTTTCACCGCAGTCACAAGGTTCTAAACCCAGACAAAAAATACAAAAATAATCGTTATTTTAACCTCTGTCACGCCACGTCACCAAAAGATAAATTTGCCTCAACCTACAGTTACCGTTTACTCATCTGTGCAAGAATGATTTCAGTTAGAATGTGCAATAATAACCGCATGTGTCCACTGTCACTTTAATTAGTCACTTTTAGAGATTTTATACTTAATTCTGGCTTCTTCATTACTCTAAAGTTGGAGATTTTAGACTTACTTCTCCTATTGTTACAAACTTTATTTTACTTATCTTATTTTCCGATGGAAAGTAGCCCGGTGCTAAACTTTGTGCGGACCGCTTTTTTATTGTAATTGCACATTTTCGTTAATAAATTCCACTTAAACTTATTTTAGTATAGAGTTATTGTTCATTTATCTTGTGCTGTGTGTGCTCCTCATTCTTACTGTTCTGTAACTTGTAATGCAACACTGAAATTTCCCCACTATGGCACGAATGAAGGATCTCTTAATCTTCAATCAATTCTATTTATAGAGCCCTTTACAAAAACGTAAACAATTAAACAACATTAA